GGAAAAGAATGTACTGGTGGGATTATTGTAGCACAATTTGAAGTACAATTAATATAAATGATGTATGAGGAATGATCAAGAAAATGGAAGGTAATAGAAGAGAGTGGAAATATCCAGTCCTTTCAGATGGAGAACAGTTGGCTATATCAAACCTAGAGAAAGAAGAAATGATGGTGAACACTCAAGTAAGGTAGTTACAGTAATTTATCAGAAGAAGAAAGAAGGGGTAGGTAAGAAACAAGGAGTCTATGAGGATATTCAAAAGAAAGAAAAGTTAGAGGATAAATACTGTATAATGTTCCATTTATACTGAGAAAGTTAAGAAATGCATTGAATAACTGTAAGAATTCAGCTCAGCTCAATTCAGTAAAGATGAAATTTGTTATAGTAAGACATTAAAGTGATAAGGGAATTCAGAAGGTTTTAATTGTTTTATATTAATTGTGTATGTATATTATATTATATTATATATATTATATGTATAGGAATGAAAGATTCATGCAGGATGGAAGGAGGCAGTTATTTTTCAAATAAGAACATCGGGAAAATATGCTAGTAATCCAGCAAATAGGCCAATAGCTCTAACTTCTCAATTAATGCTGTTTTATTAACAAAGTTCAAGAGGAGCACTTTCGGATAATTAACACGGGTGGATAACACTCAACAATCAATGATAAGAGGTGTACATAGACTCAGCAGTCTCACCTTAATCCATTGACCATTTTAGCAGCACGCATCCACCGCCCCTTCTTCACACTTAGTCCTTACTACTTACAGGAGAGTACTCTGGGTCCAGGCCAAAATCTGAGCTTGGAGCCCTCCCCCCCGAACAGCACGTCAAATACGCATTAAACTTTAGCTTCTAATTGTGTGTAAGTGTGAAATCGTTAAGGTAAGTTAATGGAAAGGTTGGTGAATGGAAGACTAATGCACTTTATTGAAGAAAGGGGGTTGATGGCTTGCTGTCAGAGTGGTTTTAGAAAGGGGAGAAGTACTATTGATTCAGTCATATGTCTTGAGGATGAAATAAGAAAAGCACAGATAAAGAAAGAGACTGTTGTAGCAGTATTCTTTGCGGTGGAAAAAGCATATGACATGCTATTGGTAGAAGGTCTTTTAATTACAAATGCATTTGCTAGGAATTGGGGGAAATATGTGTAACTGGGAAATGGACTTTTGAAATAATAGAGGTATTCAGGTGAAAATAGGGATAGATAAATCTAGAAGGCATTTGGAAGAAAATGGGACACCACAAGGTATTAGTCCATTGCTGTTCAACATAATGCTTGATGTTTTTTTTTTTTTTTCTAATGTTCAGCCAGGAATTGGAAAGTCACTATTTGCAGACAATAGCCTATGGAAAAGAGGGAAAGATGTGAAGTATACCCTGAAGAAGGTAAGCTCTAATCCTGTGGAGGCTTGGGGAAGGAAATGTGGTTTTAGACTCTCTGTTGAGAAGACTACGTTAATATTTTTATAGAAAGAAAATAGATGAAAGTATAAAACTGGAGCTGTGTGGTAGGAATTTGGAAAGGGGTAAACGTTTTAAATTTCTTGGTGTGGTATTTGACTCAAGACTTATATGAAAATGTAAAAGGGAAATTAATTTAATGAGATGTCTTGCTGGAACAGAATGGGGAACATATACCTTCTTTGAAGCAAATTTATATAAATTTAATTAGAGCAAGAATTGAATATGTGTTCGGTTTATAGATCAACAGTCAAGTCAGTTTTAACTGGATTAGAAATAATCCAAGCTACGGCACTGAGAATATGTACAGGAGCTGTGCGATCTTCTCCAGTGTGTTCCTTGCTCGTCGAAACAAGAGAAATGCCAAGCTGTTTGCCAAGAAAGCAGCTTCAGGCTAACTATTGGGTCAATTTGATGGGTCAAATGAGTGGGTAATATTTGGTACATGAATTCCAGTGAGAGAAAGATATAAAGACCATATATTATTTTTTACTGATGGTTCAAAGGGTCAAGAAACAGGTAGGAGCAACTTTTGTTGTTCAGAGGTGAAATGTCCAAGCGTTTAAGAGAACATCAAATTTCGTAAGTGGGTTCACAGTGGATTTATATGCAATCCTGATGGCAGTGCAATGGACTGATTCAGAACCATAAAGTTTTGATTTTGACTCTGTGTCAGCTATCAATAGTATTGGGAAAGGGTCAGTAAAGAGTTATCGAGAGTATACCTGCAGCATGATATTCTTCTGGAAATTAGAGATGTGAAAGGGAGAGGGGTAGAAATATAATTTGTATGTGCCCCATCTCGTGTAGATAATAATTGCAATAATGAAAAGGTTGATAAGTTGGTCACGGAAGCTGCTCAAAAGGAATCTATACATGTAAACATAAATCTATAGCCTAAGGTGGTACACTTTTAAAATGGCAACAGCTCTGGGAGCAAGAAAACAAAGGGAAGCACTATATTCTCATTAGGGTAATGTTTGTAAAAGAGGGGGGAGGGTTAAGGAACAGGTAATCATTTCTAGAATGATGATTGGTCACATGTTACTGAATAGCACTTTATTCATTTTAGGAAAACACCAGAGTGTTCATGTTTGGAACCTGAGACAGTGCAACATGTTTTCTCTGAAAAGTATAAAGCCTTTTTCACACATACTCCATTTGCAGTGTGTTTTCTCTTCCGTACCCATGTTATAAGGTTAGAGTTTTCACACTGCACGCGGGTGCGGTCCGGCGATCTGTTCCACGAGCGGTGTGTATACAGCAGTGCAGCAATCGTTTACGCACCAAGTCTATTTTTTGCTGCACTGCACGCACTGAATTAAAGTGACTGCATAGTTTGTGGTCAAAAAGAACACAAATTGACATCCATTTAATCATAAATGCATTTAATTAAATACTACATTTTTTCACTGGAAAAATTTACTTCAAGGCGACATAATGAATGACAGTCTCATACGTGTAGGTGGTAACAACACAAGTTGTTTGTGATTTATTGTAAACATATAAATTATGCAAAAGAAAAGATATGAGTCTGCTTTTTTTTTTTTTTTTGTCAAGTTAAAATGTTTGTGATTTTAATAAGTACATGGTTAAAGGATTAGTTACTTCTGCTGATAATTTAGGCTAATCACACCCATGTCATCCAAGATGTCCATGTCTTTCTTTCTTCAGTCGAAAAGTAATTAAGTTTTTGATGAAAACATTAGGATTTTTCTCCATACAATGGACTTCAACTGACTCCAACAGTTTCAAGGTCCAAATGACCGTTTTAGTGCAGCTTCGAAGGGCGGCTTTAACTAGATGCTAGTTCCATTATAGCCAGTTCCGTTCTCCGACCGTTTGGTGTCGCACTTTCCTCCAGCAGCGTCTTTAGTGAGGTCCTCTCGGCCACCGTATACGCGCAGGTCTGTTGGAAAACTCTTTTCTGGCATGAATAACAACGTATGATATTCCACAGAAACTGCTTCAATCTTGTGTGATCATGACAGAGTACTCACACGTAAAGTCTACCAAACTGGTGCTAAAAGGATTAAACGATAAGAAGTAAGGCTTTCTTTCCGTGTTGCGTTCATATGTATCTATTCTGTATAACTTACGTGTTATTGCTCTAATTAATGTAAATAGCTTTTTTTGTAATAGAAAAATGCTATATCATCATTATTTCCGCTAATGTAACGTTAAATGTCTTGGGACTTATTGTGCAGAAAGAAGAAAAAGAAGGACAAGAAGAGAAAAAGAGATGATGACGACAAGCTGGATGTCGTTGGTATGTGTTGT